TTTTTCAGTTTTGCTTCGCTCCATTGCTTGTCCTTATCATCCAGCTTCAGCTTCTTCTTGCATTCAGCTTCTGCAATCGAAAGAAATCTAGCTTGGGCTTGGACAGCATTCACCGTTTTCTTGGACTTTTTCTTGGGAAGGACTTTAGCAGCTAGTGACTTGGCCAGCTTTAAGCTGTCTTCAGTCTGCTTCTTTTGAAGCTCTAGCTCTTCTTCAACCCTTAATGCCTCGAGTCTTTCAGCTTCAGATAAGAAGTCAAACTCACCACCACTAAAGGTACGAAGAGGGATTTTTACTCTAGTCTGGTCGAGTGACTCATTCAGTTGAGACATCTGCTGGTCTGTTGGAGCACTAGAGACGGGTTGATTAGAAACCCGCTCCAGTCAACCACAGGTTGTTGATGGGATATGAAGTTGATATTCTAAAGTAATCACTACCTGAGAGGTAGAGTCTTCAAACAAGGTTTGTTGAGGGATTTTGAAAAGTACCTTCAAGTTACCTTCTTCAGCGACCGCCTTGCCTTTCGACTTAGGGTCTTGGTTCCCTGATGGAGTCGATTCACCTTGCCTTTGCTCCCCCTGGGATGCAGATTCCCCGAGAGCAACACCTTTGGTGACGGTTGATGGCTTCTGGAACTTGATGGTAAAGTCATCTTCATCATCATTGTCGTCGTCACCATCTAGATCATCTCTGGTGTCTGGAATGACAGGTTCTTCATCGTCTTCATCATCATCTTCATCTTCATCAACATCATCATTATCACCAGCAGCAGTGATGGTATGGGCATCATCCCTAGGGATGGCTTCGACATCCTCAGTTAGAGCAGCTTCGGTGGTCGTGATTACAGGAGCAACAACTGCTTCAGCTCTGAGAGCCTCAGCTTCAACTACAACTGAAGCTGATACTGGACCAACAGCCTGAGAAGCTGCAGGAGCAGCATCAGATGATTCACCAACATTGGACCTCATCTCCCCCTCTCTGGCTAAGGCTCGAGAGAATTGGCCAGACAGTTAGTCCAAGCTCTGACGCTGGAGAATCATTGAATCCTCCAGCCTTTGCAAAGTATTGGCTAGAGTTTTCATTGCCTCACGCGTCTCATGGAGCTGGGCACGATCATCGGCAGAGAAAGAAGGTGCAATCACTGGAGCTGGTTAACGTACAACATCCAGGATTTGTTGAAGAAGACCAGTTTGCTGATCAGCTATTGCCTGAGTATCGTCAGCCCTGTTGTGAAGAACCGCAATGGCGTCATTGTTGGCTTGAACAGCTTCTTGGAGAGTCTGAAGCTGACTCTGAACTTCTTGAACATCTGCCTGGAGGGCAAGGAAATTCGCATCAAGATCGCCTTGGTGGGGCATCTCTTGGTAAACTTCGTTGATCCTGGAGAGGATGGTATCAACGGCAGGTAGGAGAAGTTTGATGTCTGATACCATATCATAGTCATCATCGACATCTTCATCTCCTCCATCATCTTTCTCTCTTTCTTCCTCTGTCACTTCCTAAAAAGGACCTACAAAAGAAGAAGTGTGAGCTGAAGGCTCAAGGTTAGAAGAAAAGAAAGGGTAGGAAGATGGAATACCTGAGGGGCCTTCAGTGACATCAAAAGGATTGTCACTGGCATGAGCAAAGATTTCCTCGAGAGGATGGAC